GGCTGGACTCGATGATCTTCCAAAGTCCCTTCCAGCCCTAATGTCTATGAAATCTATGAAATCTATTTTTCTTGCCTGTTCCCATTTTGGAATCACTGACAGGAGTCTAAGACTCAAAAGTGGTAGTAAAGATGGATGGATAGAAAGGAGTTCAGGATAAAGGACACGTACATCTGAACCTACAACTTGTAGTCCCAGAACTTTGAGAGACTTTACTGATTCCAGGATCAAGTTAACCACTTAGAGGAAGCGAGATATTATGGTTTGACATAACTACAAAGTTATATGTACAGATCATTTGAATCTGGCTATTTCCTATACTAGTTCTAATGTCAATTGTAAGCCTTCTCCATAATACAAGTAGCTAGAAGGAGATGCACATGCTAAGCAACTTCAGAGGTAGCAAGAGATCATCCATAACATGCATTTGGAAAATTTATACAAGTTTTCACCCAGAGTTTTATGGGCACAGGCAAATGCATCTAGTTTTCCTATAGATCGTGCTAAATATTTTATTTGCAAGTTTGTATTATTTTCATAAAGATGTCTTGTAAATTGAAAGATTTTGATTTATTGTAATGTTTTTTCTCTTAAGTAAGTTTTAGAAGGGTTTTGTATTATTGAAGCAGATTGCCATTAGCTAAGGATTCAGTAATTATCTGAGAATTATGCTTTAGTTAGTGAAGATAATGATGGGAAAGAACATTAGGTATGCTTCAGAGAGTTCTAATTTAAGGACCTACAAATGTAATATTTCTTTTGAATACGACACATTTTAGCATTCAAATCTGACCTTTTCATAATTATTTCTGAGTATTTTTGAAAGGAAACCAGCCACTGGAAGTTTCATAGTATTGTTTTGCCTAATGATCATTGCTGTGCTCTGTGCTGTGATTAAGTGCGGTGCTGAAAAGTGAAATAGAATTACATTTGTCTTGAAAACAAATACTTTTATGCTGTAATTTACAAGTGATATTTCTGTATTTTCTAATCTTGGACTATATTTTGATAAAAATGTTAAATTTTGGCTTTCCACTCAGGTAAAATAGGGTCCACTTTTAATACTTAGGATATTTCTAGTAGGTTTTGGGACATATTTTCAAAATAAATTCCATATCTTCTACTTATGTTACAAAACTGTATTTTCAATATTTCTGATTTCTCATTTTTGAGTAATGAAACCAAATTTTCTAATTTCTCATTTCTCAGTACTTCTGAATAATCAGAAACCTTCTCAGTAATCGAGCAGGGTGGTTTAAAGGTGAATATTTTGTATCCTTTATAGCTTGTGTCCTAGAATTTAACATGAGAGTCCTCCCAATTACTGTGCTTTTAAATATGTAACTGAGACATTGTTGAAAGTATTGTCAATGTACATGTGCAGAATGTGAGACAGCGAAAATTAAGTGATTCTAGATCTAGCCTGGAAGTCTGTAATAGACCTGGGATCTTAATCCAAGACTCTTGACTCTCAGTCCTATGTCTTGATTTTCCATTCATAGTAATTCCGTTGAAGTCTGGAGGTTTACTCTGATTGTAAACAAGTGTGAGATCAGTATCAAGCAGCAATTCCAGTGTCATTTTTTAGAAGCTATTAGAATTGCTTCTGTTTTTTCAGAGGTGGTGAAGAGGGGTGAGCAGTGGGAAGGAGGAGGTCAAGAATAAAAAGGTGTGAGGTGGCAGTTGAGGCCATGTACCCTTGTCTCCATGTATCGGGAAGCTTTAGTCACTATGATAATAGGAGGAGGAGGCAGAAGAAGCATACAAGTATAAAAATACTGTCTACCTGTCCCAAGTTTGGAATTTTCTGTGTATCTTCTGACCAGCTGTTACCTGTAAGATCCCTGAATTCCATGGAAGGGGAAAATGCAACTGCAGGGCAAATTGTATGAAAACTCTCTTTATAACATAGGATAGTAGTTGGAAGTGAGCAGTTCACTCCCATGTCTGCACTAAGTTAGACATTGATTTACTGTAGTGACAAATAAACCAAGTATGTAATTGCTAACAAAATTTTAATTAACTTTACTGCTTTTGCTCTAATGTATTGATTGATTCCTTCCCCTGCAACCTTATCTATTTCCATCTGATTATATTATAAAGCTCTTTAGTGTAGGATCTGGTCTTCTCACTTAACAGAAATTGGATGCTACTTAAATAATAGCACTTTGGCAACACTGTGAATACATCAGTGAGATGGGTTTCTATTTATCAAACGGATGACTGATGACTTTTGTAATGTCTAGTGAAATCTCAGTGAAGTACTGTTCCTCATTTCATTTAACAAACTTGTCTCTTCTTGATTCTGATGTATAAAGCTGCCAACTAGTCTTTATCCCAAGTTTAACAAACAGGTGCCTGGTGATAGCTTCTGTCATTATTTGTTTAACAAATGGAACAAATACTACAGTATATTCAATTGGCCAAGAAAATAGTCTCTCTTTCTTTACATGTTCTTGTTAAATAAATTTTAAAAATGCATTTTACATGTTCACTAATGTTTTATAATTTTTTATAAACCTATTCCTCCAATGATTTATCATTTTAAGCTAACTTTTTAATGCTCTTTCAACAATACCAACCATCAGGAACACCTTAATGTTCCATTAAGGATTAAAATACTGGAAAATCTTTGTCCATGTCAATGTTCAAATGTGAATCAGCTTACTGGAATGTATAGAATAGGGGACTGCTGAGGCGTAACACAAGACAGTCGTGCCCAGGGCAATCGCCTCTTATCCTTACCCTGTTAGACGATATGCAGGAGCAGCAGAACACAACATCAGGAGCTCTGTTCATCACGAAGTGCAAGGTGTTCTGGGAATTGTAGTTATCTAGAATGGCAATGGAGTTTGCTGCTGGGGGGAACATTCACCCCATTTTTTGCTGCCAAAGCCCATGGTGGCAAAAAATGGGATTAATTCTCCCCTCAGCAGTAGTGAACCCCACTCTATAAAGCTATAATTCCCAGAACATCTTGCACTCCATGACACACATTGCTCACATCACTAAATGTGTACTCAGGAAGTGCAAACCAAGGGGAGAGTGAGGTGCCCCTTCTTCCCCCCTCGCCATCGGTGGCACCCAGGGCATGTTCCCCATGTGCCCACCCCACTATCACATACTGGATCTGGTATCCTCTCAGAGACAGCAGTCAGCATCAGATGCTTCAGAAGAAGATGCAAGAAATGCTCTAATTCTTAGTGGATGGAGATTGGTGCTTAACACAAAAACGTGAACAGGGATAGCAAGAGTTACCTTCTGACTACTAAAGAGTCTGCTGCAGATATATGCCCATTCAGGTTTTCAAAAAAAAAAAAGAAAGCTTGCTTAGGATGGCAATAGTAAGTATATGTTGGACCTGCTCTTCAGTGTGGGGAGTAGATTTATATAAAGGTCACTAAAATAGTTATGTAGAGCTACTAATGACTTTATATTCGCTTGCCAGCACCATTTGGAACTCGTGTGTTAAAAACAGCTGATTATTTTATCAAGTCATTTATCTCACAAAGCCTTTTATACATTACAGTGTGATGGACAGTACATCCCCCTTCCCAGTCTTCAAGGTATAGCTGTGCTAAACATCCCAAGTTATGCTGGTGGGACTAATTTCTGGGGTGGAACCAAAGAGGATGACGTAAGTAGCCTTGCAGAAAAGTAAAACTTAACAGCAGGTATTCTGCACTATTGTTTTTATGTAATTTCAATGGCTCCTTCATATCACTTGAATAACTATGAAGAAGCTGTTGCTCAGCTAATGTGTTAGGGGTAGAAATGTATATTCGTTTATGAAAGTTATTCTTTTAATAGGAAACCTATCACTTGATTTTAATTTTAGTTTATTACCCTTCAGTGTCTCCTCTAAGCCACCAAAACTTCTCTATAGGGCTTAGTGGACTCATAAAAGAACAGATGGGATTTTTTGAAATCACTCTTTTTTTTTAAACAAACATGAACAACCTCTCCTCTTTTTGTATGCTATTCTATGAACTGCTGTAGTGAGGGTTTCAGAATGCATACTCTCCAGTGTGTACTATGTCCGCAGGGTGAGAGGCACTTCGCAAGAGTAGTCATCCCTACGTATTGTATCTGTATTTTACTTCATTCTTTAAAAAGCTGTGGATAGAACATGGTGAATCAGAAAACAGGGAGAGGCATAAATATGGTAGAATCCCTTGAATCACCATTTTCTTAGTCTAGTTCTTAGTATTATTGGCAGCAAGTTTCTGGTCTACATTTAAATAATCCTTTTTCTGTCTTTGACAGACATTTACTCTATACAAATATATTACTACATGTGCTACCGTCTTTCTACTTAGTAGCTATAAGAAAGGGGATTATTATTGGTGCAGTCTTCTGTAGGCAAAAGAAGTCTACTATTATTACTGCGGATTTACACTAACTCTGAGAATCTCAGTTTAGCATGTGTAAAGGCTGAGTCCTATCATTGCTTTGATATATGTATATTTAGTTGCTCTCTTGAGCATCCATCTCAGTAAGATCATAGTTTTAATGCATATTGTCCCTGATTTTTTTTCCTCCAAAGTGCTTAATCATCCTAATGTTTGCTGTGCTATATTCCTATATCAAAAACATCTGATGTCATACATTTAGGAGTCTTTTCCTATTTATAATTACAGGATTGCAGGAATAGGCTGCAATCGGACCTAGACAGGTTACAGGCGTGGGCGGATGAGAACAGGATGGCATTCAACACTGACAAGTGCAAGGTGATGCACCTGGGGGGAAGAACCAGCAGCATACCTACAGGCTGGGGAACTCCCTTCTCATCAGTGCAGAGGCAGAAAAGGATCTTGGAGTCATTATTGATGCCAAAATGAACATGGGCCAGCAGTGTGGGGATGCAGTCAGGAAGGCCAACCATACCTTGTCATGCATCCACAGATGCATCTCGAGCAGGTCCAAGAAGGTGATCCTCCCCCTCTATGCGGCACTGGTCAGGCTGCAGCTGGAGTACTGTGTCCAGTTCTGGGCGCTGCACTTCAGGAGGGATGTGGACAACATAGAGAGGGTCCAGAGGAGGGCCACTCGCATGATCAGGGGGCAGCAGGGAAGGCCTTATGAGGA